ATTTTGTAAAAAGAGCTACTTGTACATCCTTGGAGATGAGGAGCATTCTTTTACAAGCTTTATCTGAGTAAGTAACAGTAAAAAGCAGAGACAAATAACAGCTGGGTAAGCTTTCTGGACACAGAATGAAAAGGAAAAAAAAAATTACTCTGGATGAATTTGCTACGTGAAAATGAAGAAATAAAAGTGACCAAAATGAACTTTGAAGAGGGAGAATTTTGGAGCTTATGAGGAAATTGGATGTTCTATTGATGTAGGATATTTCTTGTGCCGTGGTCCTGGTCTCGTGAGGCTAAAGAACAGAGACATGGACCAGAGGTAGAGTTTGTAGCAGAGGATAGTTTTATTAAAGCAAGAGAAAGGTTACAGCTCCTGAGTGGGAAGGGGCACCCGGAAAATGGGATGCTCACTAGGTAGGGTAAAAGGCTGAGTTTTATACTTTTCTTTCTGCCTGGGAGGGGGAATTCTGGAATGCTGGTGCTTGTTATTAAGGTGTTTATCAGATTTGTTCTGTTGCTCAGCCTTGGGAAGGCCTTTTGCAATGTTGTCCAAAATGGCTTTGTTGCCCTAGGATATGATTGATGTCTCTGTTCCAGTAAGGGGGAGTTATACACATAACATTGAAAAAAATAGCTAGTGTAAGAAATGGCTAGTGTTTTACTTTTGCTCACTCTACCACGGAATTCCTGACTGCCTGACGTTATATTAACTAACTTGTCTTACTATGACAAAAGATCAAGAAGTAAGCCATTAGCAACTTCTGGAAATAGACATAAACAATAAGATAATTTTTGTTGAACTCTTATTTCAGAAAAGGAAATGCTATCTGCTTTACAGGAGAAATGTAAATTTTAGTTTTCTTGTTATGTTTTGTTTGCTTTATTATGAGGTAATGGGTAGTACGCAGAGAGCTTCTAATGAAATAATGAGTGTTGTAGATTGAATGTTTATGTTCCCCCAAAAGTCATATGTTGAAGCCCTAACCCCCAGTGTGTTTGTATTTGGAGTATGAGCTCTAATGAAGAAATTAGGGTTAAATGAGGTCATAAAAGTGTGACCCTGATCTGATAAAATAGGTGTTCCTATCAGAAGAGATACCAGATAGCTCACTGAGTCCCCACATGTCCAGTGAAGATGTCCTGTGAGCACACAGCAAGATGACACCTGCCTACGAACTAAAAGAAGAGGCCTCAGGGTAAAACCTTGACATTGACACCTTGCTGGCACCTTGATCTTGGACTTTCAAGCCCCAGGAACTGGGAGAAATAAATTTCTGTTGATTAGCTCACCCGGTCTATGCTATTTCTGTCATGGAGCCTGAGAAGACTAAGATATGGTGTAAACAATAACAGACTGGGGATTCATAATGTAAAGGTGTTTTTGAAAATTTAAGACAGCAATGGGATGGAATGTAATATGTAGCCTGAGGTAAAATAAAAAGAAAAAGGTCAGAGAAAAGTTAAAATGAAATTGTGAAGGACAAATCTAAGTAGCAAAAATATTTAAGGAATACTTTGGAACAAAATTATAAGATGAAAACATGTGGGCTTTTAGGAGGACAGAGAAATGCCTTCTAGCTGGGGTCTGAGAAAAGAGAATGTAGGTGGAAATTTGAAACATTTAACTTTGCAGAAAATGTAGAATATGGTGTTTTACTTGGGGTTTAAGTACTCTTAGATCTTCCACAGGTATGGTTTGGCATCCATTAAATCACTGAAATAACATGGAAAATTTATATGCTTATAATTGTAACTTGAAGAAACAAGCGAACGAGTGGCATCTCCACTCCTTTCCCAGGTAAAAATCTATGAGGAATATGGTTGTCCTCTACAGACTTTTGTACTGTACAGGTGATAGTTTCAACGCATTTGGCCTTCTACAGATGAGAGTAACTTGTTAAAAAGTTATGTGGCTTGTTAAAAAGCCCATTTCTTACACCTAGTATTCCAGAGGTGGCACATTTTTAAAGAAGAAAAAGTGAGGAAAGAAAAAGAATGAGTGAATCTCTGGGTTATATGGGTGATAACATCAGTTCACTCCCTGTTCCTACCATTTCCACTTTGTTTACAACAAAATACTTTAAAAAAGTAGTCTGCAGACACACTTCCTCTCCCCTTGTTCTCTCTGTCCTTCTAGTCATGTGCCATTACCACTGTTTTAATTATGGGGTGACATAATATCTGTCAGGGATTATCTCCCACATCCCTTGTTTATAGCCTTCATGGCTACTTTTATTACTCCATATGAAATTTAGAATCAACACGTCTAATTCCAAAATAATTACCTACTGTTGTTTTTATTTGGCAAATAGAATTGAATGCATATTAAAAGATATTTCATGACCAAGTAAAATATATTTCAGGAATTCAAGAATGGATCAATATTTAGAAAATCTATTAATTTAATATATCACATTAATAGAATTAAGGAGAAAAAGTCATAAATACAGAGAATAAACTGATGGTGGGCAAAGGGGAGAGGAGCTGAGGAATGGGCAAAAAGCGTGAAAAGGAATAAGAAGTGCCAACTTCCCACACCTCTCTCCTGGTGTTCAGACTCATGGAGTGAGCAGCCTATTCCACATCCCTGCGTGGAGCCTCATAGAATCGCAGCCTTATCACGGCTAACACTGAACTCTTGATTTCTCCCACCAATGGCCCCTCTCTCATTCCTTCCTCTTTTAGTAAACAGTGAATGTGACTCCATTCTCCTTAATGTTCGAGGAAACAAAACAACAACAAATCATAATAATAACAATAAAACACAATGAAGCCATCCTTGACTCTTAAATTTATATCCAATCCGAAAGCATATTTCCTTAGCTCCAGTCCTATGTATACCCAGAATCCTTTGACTCCCCAGCACCTCTGCTAACATGCGATTTTGAGCTGCCAGCATCATCCCTTGCCTGGACAGCTGCAGTAGCCTAACCGTCTCCCTGATTCCACCCCGTTTCCATCCTGCGTTTGCCCTTGCTACTGCACAGTTTATTCTCCATTCAGCAGTCAGAGTGAACTTCTAAAAATATACCTCAGATGTCAGATTATTTCACTATTCTTTTCCTCAAACCCTCCTGTCCTTGTAGAGAATAAAATGAAAACTCCACACCTAGGCTTCCAAGTCCCTAGATGATATGGCCACTGGGGACTCTCTGGCCTCATCTCTCTCCATTTCCAGTGCGCCTCCCCTCACATTCTTGAGGTTTCTCAAACTCTTAAGCACAGTCCTGTCACAGAACTTGTGCATTTGCTTGTCACCATGCCAGTGATGCCTCCCATCCCCCCAAACCGCATAGCTCTCTCAGGTCTCTGCTCTCATATCACCGCCATCAGGGAGCCCTCCCTGATTACCTGATCTAAAATAATACTTCTCACATACAATAAATATTTGCTGAATGACAGAATGAATTCCTAGGTAGAACTGGGGTTCAGGCAAGGTTTTTACCCCATTTTCCCGTGATACTTTGAAAACAAGAATAAACATGAAAGAAAAAAAAAAAGGCTATTCCCGGGTGTTTAAGTTGAAATGAGTTGCTTGTTTGCTGGGTGTATCCCGCTTTTGTGTCGCACGGATGTGCAGCCAGAAATGCGGAGTTTGGGAAACCCTCTGAAGTGAGCAGAGATATAGTTCCACGTGTTAATACTGTTGAGTTCCGGCCACATGCGTGCATGGGGATGAGATGGGGTAGAGCTAACTTTCTGTCACCCTATTTATTCGATTTGCATCCTCTATTCCTTGCGTGTTGTAAGCTGTGGTGAATGTTTCACACTATTGAGCATAATGCTTACTGCATTTTTGGAATAAAGCATGGAAATTTTGATCCAAGGGAGGAGTTGTCTCTGGGTCAAAGCCTGGGAATTTTTGATATAGCCTCCAGTTGGAATATAGAAAAAAGTGTTTTGCACTTGGGAGCAATAATGCCAGATTTAATTCAACTCTTTTTAATTCTTCATTTGCTCCTGTGAGCTATGTTGTAAAACTATTTGTGTGGTTTGAATTGCAGCTTTCATAGGCTCAAAACAAAGATTATGCACAGCGAAGTAGTGAACAAATGTCTCTTTGAAAGTAAGGTGAAACATATTAGGTTGTAAAATATCATTTAAGTTGTAAAATCTCTATGGAGGAACTCCGTTTTACACTGCAATGCTCCTAGTATTGTGCTTTGTAAATAGTAGATGCTCAATACACTTTGTTGAGTTAAATTTATTTAGTAATCTGATCTCAATTTTAAGATAAAATTAGCTTAATATTGTGAATTCAATGGCATTTATTAATGTATATCCCACTTGCTGATTTTTTACCAAGTGACATACCTTCAGAGCTGATAGTGAATACACAATGGATAGCGTCTATTCTGATATTTCAAACTTATAAATGTAAACTAGATCTCATAGGAATATGACTTTCTTATACGAAGGTCTTGTGTTAGATTTATTTAAACCCTAAGATTTAAAAACGTTTTTGTATATGCATCACCAATAACTACATGAAAGTCAATGGGTAAACCAGGGAGAATAGGAGAAATTAAATTGCAACGGAGGAAGGTGTGTTGCATGTTGCAAACAAACCCCATCATAGTGTAAAAATCTGGAGAAAAAAATAATATTCAGTTTGTGAAGTTTTTAAAATAGTTGTTTAACAAATTTTCTCCCTTACTATCTACATTAGGCCTTCACATCCCCATATGGTTCCTCTTTCTTTCCACTTATATTTCTGTGAGTAAAAATTGCAAGGTTTTTAAATGGTTAAAAATTTGAAAAGACTGAGAGGATCACTTCTAGGGCCACTATTTGTATACATTGTAGTTTATTTGGAATTTTCTAGCTTAAAAAAATAAATTCCTAACATTTTAAAATATGGTTTAGGAAATGGTGTATGGGTGTATTAAAGACTTCAAAGGGGATAATAGAGATATAGTAATTGATTGTAAGAAGTATGCCACTGATTGCTGCAAAGAGTTATGTTGGATTATTCAGCACTCCAGTAAATATAAGTGAAAATCACTTTTAACTCATAACTTTAATATTTTCATACAATCAAAAAATAGAGATATACATTAAGTAGGCATAACATGAATTGTTATAATTGCTCAGAATATCTTTGGTATGTTTTATAGGTAATAGAAATGGTGGTTTCTATTAGCAGGTTAAAACCAAGAGAAAATTAAAATAAGTTCACATTTTTGAAAAAATTATTAAGCAATAAATACAGCACTACAGCTATCACTAATTCTATGTACATTGGATTACACTTGAACAAACACTAAATTCCAGAATGGATATTTTATGAATAAATGCATTGGAAAAATAACTTTAGGAAAAAACCCCAACAGATTAGAATTTTTAAAAAATTAAAATATCACTTACACAAGTACTTGAAGAAAAATAGCAGATCTGCATTTTAAAAGTTATAAATTCCCAAAATTAGTTTTTAGATACTGAAGAAGTTTACTTTTAAAATATTGATATTAATTTTTCATCATGATTAAGATACAAAAGAGATCTTAATTAGTACTTCAGCTTTAGAGAAGTCTAAAATTTAAAAAATATTACCCCTAAAAAATATTAGTACAAAACTAACACAGAGTAATTACTGCTTACAGCTGAAGACTGTACAATAGATAAATCCTGGCCATAAAGGAAATGTGATCTAAAGTTAATATGATAAAAACACAATAAAAAATCTTGAAAATTGCAGTGTAATTTTAATACAATGCTAGCTGATAATTTGACATTTTCTACTGTCATTTATGGTTGAGACTTGACAGTTTGTCTGGAAGAATGGTGAAATATGTACAGTATCAGCAAAGGATTTTGATCTGTGTCTTTGAATAATAAATAGCTAAAAATTGAATTTATTTAAAGGATTCCTTTGTATAATTTAGTCAGTAGAATGTTCAGAACAGCCTATATTCCTTTTTCTGTGACCTTGCTATGAAATCCACAAATTTGACAAAGTCTTTACATGTATATAGATAGATACATTATAAGAGTATTAGCTAGGCCATTTAATATGTTATTCTTACTAAGTTAGATGATTTTCCTGGACAATTTCAAATGACTTCTGAACTCACCATCTATTGACAGCTTAAGAAACAAACTTTGATGACTGAATTGTTTAATCCATTTTAAGCAGATTGATACACTGTAAAAACATATACAAATAGTGACTTCTCCTCCCAAAACTGACTTTTACTCATTGATGGCATTTTTGTTTTTCATATATTTCAGTGGAAAATAATTTTAGGGAAATTGAATCACCTTTAAATGTCATTTTAATTCATTAGCAAGGCTATCTTCCATCTTAATTTAATTATTCCATAAACATACTGACAACAATTCTTACTCAATGCTATGTTCAAATCTTTTGCTGATTTGTATTATCATATATAGTAGCTCTATTAAAATATTAAAACACTGTATATGATATATATTGTATTCTTATAGTTTTAAAAAATAACCTGGAATATTTCCAAAGCTGTATATCTTCATAAAGTAAAAGTCAGAAAATTAATATTTTTAATGGGGTAAAAACCATAAAAGTAGCGGGTTAGCATTTATTACAGTAGGAGTCACTAAAATTTTCTGGATTAGAAAACAAGTTCATCGTCAAAATAAAAAGAGAAATATGTCAAACATACCTATTATTAAGGTATGAAACACCCAAGCTCATATGATCAATTAAAATATGGCTTTGAGTTTGTTTTCAATAAATATTTTATATGTTATCATAGCTATTTTGTTAGTTCTAAACTTCTGATGCTGACATCTGGTTGTCTTTAAAATATTTACCAAATATAGAATTCCAGACTCTATTTTATTATAAAATCTGCCCAGACACAGTATCAGATATCAACATTCATACATTGTCACATTATGTATTTATTTTTTAAAATGTTACCTAGAGTGTATGTATTTGACTTAAGGCTATAAAATAGAATAACTGAGTATTTACAAGCTTATTTTTCACAACATTTTTTTTTCTTTCACAAACTGCCAAGGAAATAAGAAACCCTTCATTGATTTTCTTCATGTGAAGTATTTGCTAATTTGTCTACACAGTAGAGATGGAAGGGGCAAAGTTTTTGTTTACAGATACAGGGACTCCGGTTCCCTCTCACTTATGTAGTAAGGTAGGAAAGCAGCTGAGAAGGTGTTTCATAGTATCAACGGAGCTGTCTCCCTAATGATACCAAAGTAGGACTGCATGTCATACATACTGTTCATCAAGTCTCAAAAACAGATATGACACAGAGTATAACTGTGATGTTTCAGCAAATGAGTAGCCGGCAGCAATTCTGCTCAGTTGCCTTTCTTGGGAAGAAGAAGGTAAGTTAACAGGAGTAAGTAACTCCCTATCTGTTCCATTTGAAAGGGTAAATACAGAAAGGGCTAGACTATTCTCTAAGGGGAAAAAAAAGTCAACTGCACCAATGAATATCAGATAAAGATTTAAAAAATAAGTGAAAAGCTAGTTTTCCCTCCACGTCTGCAGACCTTAGCTAGGTCTCTTTATGACAAGAGTAGATTCATGCCCAAGGTGTATATAAACGTTTAGAGTCTCATTCATTTGTGAGTTCATGCAGTAGTGTGCTAGAACTGGCTTACACCAGCCACAACAGTTGATTATGGTCATCTTTTCCTAATTCCACATTCAGTGTTGTCAAGTTAATAGCTTGAAATCAGCCAAGGTAGGACCAAAGGTAGTAAAAACTGGCAACCATTACAAATCAGGGCTTTCTTTCCCCTCCATAGAGATAGTTGTCAAATATTTATCAACACAATGCTGAATTCATGTGAGGGCTTTCTTTGTGGTACTCAAGAAAGTCACTTAATATTGAAGTCTTCTGGTTATAAAGTCATGGATCCAAGTCCTTGAGTTAGGAGTGGCATAAAATAGTGAAGCAATCCTGCCTCTATTATATAATATAATCGTTGCACTTTTCTGGCTTTAAGACAATATTTTCAATATCATGGATGCTTTTTCCATTTAAGTGTTCGCTTGGGCAGTCATGACTATAACCTGTGCCATCACTGATTGTTGACACAGTGTAGGATGCGCTACGAAGAGCATCTGAATGGGAAAAGCCATTTCCAAATTGGATTTTATATTGATTCCAGTTTCTTCTCAGAATTGCTTGAACCTATCAATCAAAAAGAAACAGAAAAGACAAGAGCAAGCCATTATTTGAAATGAAGATATTGTATTTATGAGTACAATAAAATAAGTTATGTAGAAAAGCTTTTTTTTAAAAAAAGCATTAATGTTAGTGAATAATATTTCTCTTTTTTACTTAATTTAAAAAATTTAATTGAGTGAACCATATTTACATTAGGAAATTCACTGCAATTACTCTGTACATTTATATTCCATTAATATTTTCCTTTCCATGCCTTATCTTTGAGCTTTAATAATGTGTATGGATGTGTTGTCATAAAGCAGTTAATCCAGACCTCCCAATTACAAGTTTGCATGTACAACGTTGAGTTTTGTATTAATATCTTTATTAATAGAATGAGAAGATGAGTGAGAATATACAGGAAGAGGGAAAAGAGATGAAAGAAAAAGAAGCAGGGGTACAGGGAATATAAATCATCATCATCATCATCATCACCATCATCATCACCATCATCAATAGCAGCAGCAACAACCTTTGATTGAGTGATTATCATATGCCAGGTATTGTGCTGCATTCTTGGCAGTGGGGGTCAGCTCCTCTGAGGAGCTTACTACCCAGAGAGAAGAAAGTGTTGAACAGATCATTACAAATGAGATGAGTATTGTGAAAAACTAGATAGGTCATATATAGTGACTCTGGTTTTAACTGAACATAAGGCACTAGGCTTCTTTTCTTCATATTGAGTCTGTGAGGGCAAATGAGAATATTCAAATACATCTGCAACTCAAGTAACCTGAACCAGGTATCTGATGAGTGAGGAGACTGGCGGGAGCCCTCTGTTTCTAGGTTACATATGTATTGGCCACATTCCTGTGACCTGATCTGTCTTTCCAATGCATATGTAGTTTTGAATTGTCTTCCTTAGGCTCTCTATGCTCTTTGACACTTTGATTGCTTCCTCAAAGGGAAGCTGAGCATCTAAACGCAAATTTCCAGCAATTCATGTACTACGAACATACTCATGCAATAATTGTTTAACTTCCGACTAATTATATATAATTCCTCGAATGTTTACTCATTATATTCATGTGTGCAAGTCAATATTAAACTTTAAAATGGGGCTGGCTTATTTGAGTCTTTTTCATTTACTTGTGTAAGAGGTCAAGAAAACAATTCTCCTAATTACAAACTCTCTCTCTAGGCAATAGGTATTCCCAGGATATCTGCAGCTCTATAGGAATATTCAAAGTCCTCTTAACCTTCTATATTCTATCACTTAAAGTCTCATTTCATGTTTTAGCATGTAGAAAAATGGAAGAAACAAGTTAATGAGTTTCTTTAGAATTCAAAATGGATTATTAGAATTTCAGGTAGCTTTTCTTTACTGTATACTCAAAAAAATTATGTAATGAGAAATGTAATAAATTGGTTTTGAAAGTTATATTATTATGAAATTCAGAACTTCAGGGCTTTTAAGCTTATTTTTTTATGTACGCTGACTATATCTGAAGGAGTAATTTATAGTCATGTAGATTTTCTTTGAAATAAAAGCATTTATAGGACAATAAATATATCTTGCAAAAAATTATACGTTGTTTCCCTTATGGGTTAATAATGTATTTCCAAATTCTCCAAATAACATTTAAATTAAGTAATTTGAAAATAATATCTGTATATGTAATATTGTCAAGAACATAAATGATGAGTGAATTGACTTTACGGCATGACTTTTAAATAAATATTCAGAGATTTAAAATAAAAATGACCCTTGGCCAATTATCCAGATATTTCTGATAGGAATTGTTTTTGATCCTGATTTTTATGCTTAATTAATTTCCCCTCATTTTGTGACTAAATGCTGGACTGATTGAATACATACACTATATAGTCTCTGGTTTTGTACAAAATATTCTACATAAATGTTATGGAGAAGCTGACAGGAAGTAATATCTTAGAAGTGAATGTAGGACTTATAGTCTTAAAAAGGGAAGCTTAAATTCAATTCTAAAAGTCAAAATGGTTTTGGAAATATCTGACTCTTTGCTCTTGAAATATCTGCTTTGATTAAGATTATCACCTTATTTCTTCCTTGCAACTAAATCAGAAAACCATGGAAAGCCAGTTTCCTGAACAGTGAGTACTTATTTACTGAACTTAAAAATGAGCCTAATTAAAGACCCATAGGCCTTGTAGACATCTGTTTCTGTATATTACTCTCTATAGGGATTTTTTTTTCACCTTTAATCAAATATCACACCTGTTCAACAGGACATTAAAATGGCCACTTTTAATCAAATTTTAATGAGAAAAATTTAATAGGGAAAGATAACAAGAAAAATCACCATTGGAAAGGAAAATAGTCCGACATTATTAAAGACATGAAAATGTTTTTATTGTTTTGCATGACTGTTATATAAATAGTAAGGCCAACTGTTTAAAATATAACATTACAACTTTATATGTCTTTTAGCACCTGATAAGGAACCAATTCTATACTCCTTAACCTAAATCAGTTAAAAGATATTTAATAGAGCTACATATAAAAATTCTACCTAGTTCTCATTACAGAATGTGGGTTTGGTTATTCTCAACAAATGTTTTTGTTCACTTTATAAAAATATCTACTCTCAGGTGTTGTTAAATATATCCCTTAGGCTGGGGAGGGCATTTCTGATGACTAGAGTCCCTTTTTATGCAAACAGCACACATTTTTGTCTAAGTTGACTAGAGATGAGATGAATGTGGCCTCCGTACCTACAAAGCCACAGTTACTTAACTAGCGAGAAATGCAAATAGCAATATGTTGTCTAAAATATAAAATAAATTAAATGTGAGAGTAAAACAAAAAGAGAGGCATTAAGCTAAAGCAATCTATGTGACCGAAAGTGGAAAGCAAGAAGAAAGCCTGAGCAAATGATTTTAAGATGTACGTGACGTAGTTGGAACCACACAAAATGAATTTGGCAGCTGTGTCTTTATATTATGGGAGTAAAAAAGAACGAAGAGGCAGAGACAATCAAGGAGGGATTATGGTATTTCTTAAAATGAGAAATGAATCATACACAAACAGAGATTATATCTTGAGAGATGAAGAAAAGAGGACAGACATTGGAGATGTTGTGAAGAACTAAAAGATTTGGCAACAACTTGGCTCAAAGATTTTGTATTATTGTAATTTTCTACGGCCAACATTTTCTCTGTTTTAGGGCATGGCAGAGGATCAAGGTCCGTGTCTCTTTTGCTTACACAGATAGGATGCAACAAGAGCGTTAGGCATTAGTTTAGAGACTAGCTGGGCACTTTAACGGGCCAGTTTGGGACTTGATTTCGATATGATTCATATTCCCTTTTATACATGTATTTTTGAAAATGAGTGATTTGACAAATTTAATCAGGAATCTATAACGTACTGAGTATCTACGGAGGGTGGAGCATTGTGCTAAAAACTTTACATCTTTAGTTTACATTAAATCTTGTGGGACTTGTGTAAGAAATTTGCTTTTATTTCTTTTTTAATAAAAGTGGACCCTGAGACTCCAGGAGGTTCAGAGTTTTGCCCAAGATATCACAGCCAGGAACAAAGTGGAATCTTAAGGGTTTAAATGCATTGCCATGGTAGTGCCCTTAGTATATACTGCTTCCAATCACAACATTTTTACTAGTGATTATGTTTTGTACGCTTACAATGTACCCTTTATAAAAAATCAAATCTGTTTCTGCCAATGCAGAGGTGTATCTTTCATATTTCACACATGTTCTTTGGCATGTTGTCCATAGCCCTCATCTATATTTAACTGTAAAATCCCATATAAGAAGTAAATATATCTATTTAATCCAGTTTACACATTAATAGTTTATAGGGGTATGTAACAATTGTTTTTTGAATTTTATTATCAAAACAAATGATTTATTTATTCTTTCTCATTGCATTCTCAGTCTATACTTCTCATTGACTTCAGAAAAATAGTCACTGTTGTCTTCTGTATAGTAGAAGGATCATGGAAGCACCATTTAAAGATGTTAAATAGAGCCTACTATGTTTTTCAGTTCTATACCCCATTGTAAAGAAATATATGAAATAAATACCTATGCTTAAATATTAAAATATATTTAGTTTAAAAATTAAACATGAAATTTTATTATATGCTATGACCGAGAGGTAAAATATTACTTAAGTAAAGGTAACACTACAATAAAACCTTGAATTATGAGTAACTTGTTTTGCGAGTGTTCCCCAAGATGAGCAAACATTTCTAATACATTTTAATGTGGTAAACGAGCGATGTCTTGCAATATGAGTAGTTTGTTTCTGGAACGAATTATGCTCACAAACCAAGGTATTACTGTATTTAGTAGTTTTTCATATGTGCATGATTTCCAATGTTGATTTGTTTTATAAGAATTGTTCTCATAAAGTTATGCCAACTGTTTCTATGTGTTTTCCATATGAAGCTTTGTGATAAGCTCCAGTTACCAAGGGTCTCAGCCTCACTCAGTTGCTGCCTGGATTTCTAATCTTTGTTGAATTTTGCCAAAATTCTCCAACAGGTTAAAATTCGTCAAGTAGATTAAAAACATCTAGAGATAAGTCAATATAGCTCTAACTGAGCTATAATGCTATTCATATACATAAGAAATATGGTACTGCCAGTTTCTAAAATGCCTGAAACTTTTCAATTAGGAAAGCCTTGGATAAAAATATTGAAATATCCAAGACCACATTGACATGCTACAAATTAGAGCATTCTATTGTAAATTTCCTAACACACTGTGTCTCCTTCATATGTAACTGTGAGTTTAAGTTCTTTAATCCCTTTTGTATCTACTGTAAAACTGTTTCCAAAGACCATATTGTGAGTTAGACAAAGAAACAGAGAAAGGGGGAAAATGAAAATGAGCCAATTCTTTATCCTATTAGAGTATATGTATATTCTATGAAGTTAAGTATTGCCTCGCACCATGCATAAGTCAAAGTCCAGGCTTAATAGGATTAGTTCAAAAGGTAGGTCAAAAGACTAGATGAATACAAGTCAATGATGGAGTATTTTAAACTGAGGCTATATTTGCCCTAGCCTTGAACTCCAATATGACCCGAGCTTTTGGGAAGGAGAGTTGCATCTATGAAAAGAGGTTTTATGGTTCTCTTTCCTGATAGAAACAAAATTTGAAAGAGTTGTTCTTAAGGAATTCATAATTCTGTCATTTTTAAGAAAAAATATATTGTTAATATAAAATTATAAAAGGAACAAAATCAATCACCATACCTCTCCATTAAAGAAGCAGAAAATTGTAGAGACCAAAAGACCCTGTAAAAGAAAAACAGAATAAGTTGATTCCAAATGGAAAAGATACATATTACACTATTTGTAACCAATTTACTGCATATGTAGTCAAAAATAAAATCAAAGTTATATATAAATTTAATACCAAATTTCTCAAGCTGCCTTCAGGATGTAGGAACACCATACCTGATAGTGCATAAGAATGTGCATGATGTAGTCGTACACCTCCTCTGCTATCCTTCCCTCAGGTCGCCATGGAATCAGCACAAATTCAATCCCGAGTAATGGCACCAGGATCAGTGTAGCTCTCACGGCTTTCATGTAGAGATTGGACTCTGCCTGGTGAGTAACTTTCAACTTGGTGATGAGAACACGTACAATATTTAACAGGAAAAAAAGATTTACCTAAAAGAAAATAAAAAGACATATGGAAATTATTTCATATCTAATATTAAGAAGCATTACTGAAGAATCTTTGATTTTCTAAATCTTAGAATATTTTCAATGTACAAGAATATCTTTTACTAAAGAGCATATCTGCCTATGATACAATTTATTATTTCTGGAATTGTGAGTTGTGAATTTAGCAAGTACATCGATTTTAATGGAATTAGGTTTTAGAAAAATAAAATTGTGGTGGAATTACTGTGGAACATATTCAGTTGAGAAATATCTGAGTGTTTTTCTCAGCTAATTTTCTTTTTTTAATTTTGCTATCATTCAAAAACTAAAGCTTTTAAATATTTTCACCTCAAACAAAGGAAAGGTTTGTTTATAACAAATTCTAATTTTTAAGTTTCTCCTCTGTATCAGTATCCATATTAGGTACTTTCCAAATACATATTATACTGTAACAACCTTTTTCATCTTTTTGGTTTTTCTTTTCCCTGTTTCTTTTTATAGCAATAATCCTCTCAACTACCCCAAGATAGTTCTGTAATCCTTTTTATCCTTATGAGTAAGCTGAATCACACACTTGAACTAGTTGATATTCAACCTGCCTTATTCTATAGATAAAAAAAATTTTGGCACCCCACAGGGCTTTCTGTTTTGTTAATTACTTTCTGTAATTTCATATTTACAGTGCATTAATACCTTTCCCCAAGAGAAAACATTCTCTTTGAAAGGGAGGCATAAGATTTCAAAAATATAGTGTGGATAACTACATTACTCAGAAAATGAACAGAGTTGTGCTGAATACTTCTATCTCTAGCTCTGTCTCTAGCTCTATTTCATTTCTCTCCTATCTTGATCCAAGTCAATATCCTTTACTTTTGTCTATGTTCTCTATGCCCACTCCTATGCCTTCCATAGGGTTATAGGCATTAACCCCAGAAGAGCCTCTTAGGGCGCTTATGTTATTCTCTTTCTCTTTTTCTGACTCTGACTTGTAGCATCTGTGCTTGTTTAATAATCCCAAAATTTCAAATTGCATACCAATATGTAATTTATATCTGGATACTTTAATAAATTGGAAAATAATGGTAGCATCTCATTTAATGTAGAAAACAATGAACAAAAAACAGACATTTGCTGATCTAAGACATATGTTATGAAAATAGCTGGGCATAAAAATATTCCACTATTATTCTTAGAGAATTCAGTGGAACATATGCTTCAAAAAACTAGAGCTCACTATAAGCCTGATGGAAACACATCTATGAAAAGTAACATGGCTACAGACACAGGCATGCCTCTGCTACAGACAAAAACAGAATAAGTGATTTCAGCAGCTGTAAGAATGACATGACGGATCAACACATCAGCTGTTACTCTACCCATCCCGCTGTAGTCCCTTCCTAAGCATTCATTGCTATTTTAAAGTTTTAACTAAATGGAAACTACGACCATCCCATAGAAGAAAAGATAACAATGCTCTTTTATCTGCTTATAAATTTAGAATATAGACTATTACATAACCCTCATCTGTAAAATCATTCATTACAAAAATCAGTAGAAATGTTGCAATTTAGATGCCCATCATATGAAAATTTCTAAATGCAAAGTATCTCTCCCAACTGGCAATTCTGGTTCAAAATGTGAAACTAGAAACTGGAAAGCCATCCTAGTTTATTTTCCGCAAATATAGTATATCCATTTATTTTAAATAAAAATAGGAGAAGGATTTTGAATTTCAGGTGAACTGTATCTGAATCTCATCTATCTTAGAGCAAAACTAGTTAAGGAGAAGGGGAGAAACCTGTTTTACTCCAACACCCATAAAGGTCACATAGCTAGTGGGCACAAAAGGACATTTTCATCTCACGATGTCACCCTGGGGTCCTGACAGGAAGCAGGGTGAACCAGCACAGTGGCGGCGGAAGGATCCCGGGGGAAGACGTTCCTGTAGTAGAACAACCAGCAATCTCTTAACTATGCACTCAAGTGCCCTGACTATCTCTCACTAAACCCAAATGAAATGCATCCCCTCGCACTTCCCCTTAGCAAGATCTCAAAAATACTGTAGCCGCTCCAGTACCACCCTGCTCAAGAGGAAACGGCATAGAGGAAGTCTGAGTGGAAAAAACTGATTGTGGTTGAAATATCTTATTTATAAAAATCATACAAAAACATGTGACCATATAAACAATTGCTAGAGCCCCTCCCTACACCTTGGAATTAGCCAGGAGCAGTGAACAGTGCCTAGAGCTTAAACAAGAACAGGACAATTTATCCTAGAAAAATGGGCTCCTAATCTTCCTTTAGGTCAAGAAGATGAAAGTTTTACACAAATAATGTGGATTTTCACTTCCTTCTTACAGTGCAACTTGGGCTATATTCCTATATGATATTTTACTCTTGTGGCACCATCTGCTTACTCTTCCCTCACAAAGTCGATGTAGACAAGCTTTTCCAAGTATTGTGTTAGTTGCTATTACATTTTTCATTTGCTAGGTGCTTTTACTTCTCCATGGATCTCTCTGATTTAGGCTTCAGTCATATTCTGCTCCGCAAACTCAGTACTCTTACAATAAAATTTTGCCCTACATATTTTTTTGTAAACTCCTGGGTCGCCCAAACAATGTATCTTTGTGCTCTCCTCAGGACAGAATCGTGGTATCGTATAGAAATTACAAATCAAGAAACTTCTTAAGGCATTTTGAGAGGTTATTATATTCTGGTCACTGTGTTAATCGCTTAATAGGATATTCCTCATTTAATCATTGCAACATCCCATGAGGTATTTGTTCTTATTATTTCATAATCGCGGATGAGAAAACAAAGTCACAGAGAGGTTAAAAATAAAACAAAACAAAACAAAACAAAACAGAACTTGCCCTGAGATCTGCAGCCAGCAGTGGTAAAGCAAGGTTTCAGCAATGGCCCTTTTAGTACAAAGAATACAAAGCTAGACTGTCTCAAGTTATCCCTTAAATACAGTGTGTCACCCATGTCCCTAGTATATGCAGGGAGCAAGAGAATAAATGCTCCTGCCTCTAAAATTTTCACTAGTCTACATGAAGGTCTATTACAATGTGCATGAGATATAATAAATTCCATACATTGATTTTTTGAACTGGCTGTCCGTGTGGCTAGGCACAAACCAGAAATTTGACAATTGCTGTGTGCTTTATACATGTCAGGCTAAGCACTTTTTATGTATTAGCTCATTTAATTAATTGTTAAAAAATTAAAGGTTACTATTGTTACATTCTCTATTTTACAAAAGTGGGACTTGAGGCACAGGATAATTAGTTTAATTGCTTAAGATCACACAGCAAGTAAGAGGTGGAAGAAGAATTCGAACCCAGGTAATCAGCCTTCAGAATTTAATCCTCTTAATTACGACATGCTTTTAGAGCATGATTTAAAAATGATACATTTGACAATGGCTTGAACTATGTTCAAACATAACCCTATACTAAATTGCAGCTAGCAAATATAGTAAAATAATACAAGAATATTTGTCTAAAAAACAAAAAAAAATCTGAAAACAAGAGTTAGGACACTTTGAATTTTGGCTGAGAAACAACCATCTTTGTCTTTTTATATATAATCAAATATCAGTTGTAATTGCAAAGACTATAATTACATTCTGTTCTTTAAGGCACTATGAGAGAAAGTGTATTAATTTGGGTTAATTCATTTCCCCATTGAAATAATGTAATGAAAGCATTAAACGTGACTTCTGTTTCCTTGCAACCACACTTAATGTGCAGTATACTTGTATTAAGTGATGATCATTAGAATAATGAAATAAAAGTTGAAACACTACTCTCTTTTCCCTAATTAAAGTCTTTTCTTTATTGGACTATTACTCTTATTGCTGACATAGCTGTGTAGGTCTTTCTTGTTGGCCATTCCCACTTTCTGAATCCATCCTGTCCTGTGCTCTGCCCTGTACCCCAAGAAGCTCTGAGAACTGTGCCCTGGCCCAAGCTTTCTTGCCCTCTGACATTTGCTGCCTTTGGCCAGTGGGAGGAACCCAGAGAACAGAGCACAGAGGTGAGAGAAGTTTGAGTATTTCTTCCTCCTTCTTTTTCTCTCCTACGCTATGGATTTGGCAGTGGCCATGTTCCTGTACCCACGGCCAGAGATTTTCACTCTGAGGCAGGAACTCGATTCTGTTCCCTCTCTGGGTCCAGCCATGATAACAACTTCCCATTGTTGGTCCCTGGTGCTCACCATCCCTCATGAATGAGTTCCTTTACTCTTCCTGCCAACACCTCAAATATAACACCTTCCTCAAACCCTTTTCAATTAAACACTGTGAGCATGTCATCTGTGTCCACTGGGATCCTAAAGAATAGCATAGGCCAGATGTTTCAGGAAATGGAAGTCAAAATATGAACAATGATGGAAAAAGGAGAACTTTAATTACATACCAGTAAAGCAGCGCAAATTGGGCCGTGGATAATATAGAGGAGATGGGTGTCAGAACTGATCCAGCAGCTGGTGGGAAAAACAGAAATTATGTTGAAGATTTTTGTTTTACTTAGTTCTAATAGAAATCAGAACGAGATATTATCTTACTTGTCATTGTAATATAAGCTTCTGGCTATGGCGTGTGTACAAGCAGGAATCAGTGGAAATCCTGTAAATATCAAGGAAAAAGAAGATAAGTAGGCAACTTTCTCTATAAATGGAAGTCCTAAAGTATGTCATGAAATGTGAAACTCAGAGATACTCTAGGAGCAAAAATAACTGGTCACTGTAAGTTTATCGAGTAAATATTATCTGTATAGTCAAACAGGTAAATGTAGTAAAGAGTTGTGTGTGTGTGTGTGTGTGTGTGTGTGTGTGTGTGTGTGTGTACCTTTTCTTCTAATAGAAATCATTTTGAATCAGAGGACTCTAGAGCAGGGGTCTGCAAACTGCAGCTCACAAGCCACATGTGGCTCTTGGGTGTGTACATGTGGCTCTGACGTAAAATTGAAAATGAAAATAAAACTATCACAGTTTCATTGATAAAATTTTTAGAGGATGTTATTCATGTAATGGTGATTTCACTTGTTTTATGGCTCTCAAATAATTTTTAAATTGCTGTGAGGAACAGGATTGGCTCTTTTGTCTCAAAAGTTTGCCAACCCCTGCTCTAGAGTCTAAGTCCATAAATGTGCTCCTAAGGCCCAAGACTTAGAAGAAATCCAACATGCATATATTTTCTGTAAAATGGCATTGCCCAATATTTGCTAGATGATCATATGTGGGAAAAAGTTGAAACTGGCTATACAAAGAAGAAGAGAAGAAAGGGAGAAATATCTCATGTATCAGAAAACTGCGTATTTTGAGCATTCTAAATCAGATCTTCCAAACACGAAATAAAGAAATGTTTTATAAAGGTAATCTGAATGCACTAAAGATTGTATTTTATACATAATTGGACATATCTGTATTATTTGACTGGATAAATAGAAGATAGATAGATGATAGATAGATAGATAGATAGATAGATAGATAACAGATAAAGTATAATTTCAGTTATGTTTCTGGAAACTAGTCCTATTGAATTTACAATATTTTCAGCATTTTATATTTTGCATTATTCCTGTTACTTTTTAAAATATGCTAGATGTGTTTCATTGTTTGCTTTGTGAATAATACCATGTCAGGAGATTGTATGGAAAATAGTTCTTTTGTATGCCCTTATTCAATGACTGATCCCTCTACTCTTAGATAAAATAATTTTTTTTAACAAACATTTTAAAAATGGAACTTCAAAGCTAGTTGAGCCCAATGCCCTCATTTTGCACATGAAGTAAAAGGAGATTCAGAGCAGTACAAAGATTTGATCCTTAATTCATGATTCTAGTTCTATTGTTTTAGTACTAGGTATTTAGCCAAGATACACATTTGATTATTAAATAGAAAAAAGCACTGTGGTAATAATTGACCTGTAAGTGCTGAAAACAACGAATCGATAGCATTTTATTAAAATATTTCAATTTACAGCAATAAGGAAATCACCTGAATTGTTTTAAAATGATTCACAATAAGTATGTTTTTATTACAAAGGAACTGCATGCATCTTCTGAAAACTTTCTTAACAAGGTGAATCAGCAGATATGTGTAATGGACTTACCCCAGCCAAGAAAATAATACCACATTAAGCGTTGCTTCTCTGCAAACACGGCCACCACAATGAGTGTGTGTAGGTAAACGCCTTCACAAAGCATCCAAAAGTAGTTACAGCCCATCAGGTAAAGATGAATGAACTGGAACACTTTACAACTAACCTATGAAGAAAAAAAAGAAAGCAATCAATATTTAGTTGTTTATGAATTCACATGTAAATCAATAGTCTAGTTTAGCTCTTATTGAAACATGGAGTTTTCTCTCCTTTGTACAAAATTTTACACACTAAATGATTTGTAAAACACCAGTCTTTGTCTTCATCTGATGGTGCCTCTAAAGTTTTTGGCCCGTTGACTTCAAAGATTTATAATGCTATGCCTCCAAGGAAAAGTGTGCATTCCAAAACTACATTTAGTGGATGTGTGTTTTAGTTATTATGTAATTTTAACACAGTGAGGACAGGGCATTTAAATATATAGACACAAATCTGCCTCACTGGTCCACAATGTGTTAAGTAGAAAAGTTTCACACGTGAATGACTTTACATCTATCTACATTTATTTTAATTGTGTCAACACGAACCCCTTGATTGTTGCATTCCGTTGGAAAAATCTTAATCATTATCTTAATAATTATAAAAGCAGTTCATGAAAAGTGCCAAATCCTTCAAAAATCTTGCATATTACATGCTAACAGTGCAAATACTTATTAAATAATAATCTAATGAGCCCATACTTTATCTTATCCAAACATGGGGTTTGATGGTTGCATGTTGGTAAAAAGAAGAAAAAGTTAAGGTTTTTCTTCCTCTTTTCCTGAGGTCTCCACTTTCTCTTCTCTACTTTTAAAGAAACAGGAAGAGGGAGGTTCAAATATAGGGTAAAGAAAACATGTATAAGAAGTAAGAAATATAGTTTACTCTCTTAACAAGGGAAACAAATTAAAAGCTCTCTCAGAACTATGTGGCCAATTATTCCCTTTGGGTCTAATTGCCAATCTGGAACTCAATAAATATTTAGTAGCAATTACCATTATTTTTGAAATAAATATTTTTTCCACTAAAAAGAAAACTATAAATGAAATGCACTGGAAACTAAACATTGTTTTATAATAAAATAGTAATAATAAATTTGCATATGAGTTAGCTTAAAAATATTTTACTATATATTGTTTTAATACTTAAAATAATTTTGAGGCATGAATGATTTAGTCCCATATTTTATAGATAAAACTGCACTAAAGTAGTTAAATGATTTGCTAATATTCATACGACATCAATAATAGCTATATCCTGAACACAACTCCTTTAATTCCAATTTTGTTTTCATGACTCTACACAATGCCTTATGCCTGAAGGACATTTATAAAACCTATTCTTTCATTAAATATATATTCAGATTGCATGACATTAAAATTTAAATAATATACCTTGGTGTCAAACATAACATTATATTAGCAAAGTCCTCTCAAATGTAAAAATGAGTTATTCCACTATATTATATAGAAATGATGGACTTGAGCTTCAAAATTTTATCTATATAGTTTTTAGATATACATACCTAATTGGGATTCTAATTCCTAATTTCATTTAAAAAGTTTATAAACATGATAAAAATAGCTTAAAGCATGCTTCAGAAAAATATATTTATGCTGGGCATTGATGAGAAAAATGGACAATAAATTTTCCAATAATATATTAAACTAATTATATACAGTTTGCTTTTTGTGTGTTAAACACTATGTACTTGTATATAAATATAAGATTTAAAATCTCTTGCTCTGCAACTTCATGACAGAACTCTGAATCTCCTTACTCTAGAGAAATTCACTCTAAAATGGCAGGACCTTGGTCAGTTTTTTATATTGCTAATTATACCCCAGTGCGTTTCCTGACCCAGTGACTTTAGAGTGGAACATATACAAAATTAAGCAATCCGGATGCACGTGTGCAAACAATACAGGGAATTTTAGAATGTTGGAAATTACCCTAAAAACACACATAAAACACATAAGAGAGTATTGTTTATTTACCCATTGAGTGAAAATTCCTTCCCTTCTCTGATTTCAGTAACTAGATAACTTAATCTCTAACAAAACACTTTATGTACATACACACCCCTCCACAAATCTATATCCAAAACTGTAGAATAGATCGTACAAATATTATGAAAGCAGATGATTTAAAAAACTTGAATACATTTGTTATATATGCAGATATTTTAATTGAAATGTAGTTTACATATCCTCATAGCTTGCTTAAAATATGTAAATTTGCATAAGTCAATTTTAGCTTATGTTTTAAAAATATAGCTTTATGTTATGACACTCTCTGTGCTTATTTTTGTGTATCTTTTGGTACTCATCCTAAACATTGTGCTTCCAAAGGGATTGTAAGGAAACATTTTATAAATGTTTACTGAGACAAGAGGACTTGGTAGAACTGTTCATAAATTTTATGTTAATGAAGTTGAATATTATATAGGGTATGTATAATTCATTTTTCTCTGGTTTTATTAAATTTTTAAAGTCAGCTTAATACCAAAAATATAGTTTCCATTTTCCAGTACTGTTTTTTCTAACTACACAGTTAGTTTGATTTTTTAATTCGATTGAGTAAATACTTTGTAGTAATAAACACATGTCCTACCAGCAGCAGGACGCGAGTCATAAAATGAGGGGAAGGTAAATGTAACATATATAAATAATTGAAGCAAAATAAATATTCTTCCTTTTAATATTCAATCATTATAACGAGGAATATTGAGATATATTTACTTTTCTAGATTGGAAAATAGCTATATACACTCTCTGAATGTCAGACCTTAAAATACACATATAATAGTACTTAATTACACACATCATACATATATCAGGAACTCTCACTACTCCCATATCTCCCCTGCTAACCTTTTGAACTTAAGGACACGTCTATTTTTACTTACAGGATTTGTGGCCACTAGGGCTTGGTTGTTGGCCACTGCAGTGAGATGAATGATTGTTACAACAGAGTTACAGATGAAGGAGAAGAACAGATTTTTGTGCAAAGTAATCCTTTGGCAACTTAGGCTCCTAAAAGGCAAGAGAAAAAGTGTGGTGACATCATAAAATGTTTCCACACTTGTATTAATTATCATTCAAATAAGATACAGTCACAATTCATAGCAGCTACATCAACTTTGGAAGAATTATTTTTTCTCCCCAAGATTCACTCATAATAAAATTTCCCTTAATTAGGGAAAATCTATAATTCCTTAAAACACAGAAGCAAATGAGTTGCTTCAGTACAAGTAGACATAAGTAGGGATAGCAAATTTGTCTGTTTCAGGCATCTATTGGGTTGTTGGAAAAGTCATGATGTATTTTTTCTGTTTTTCAAAGGTCATTTATTTATATAAAGAGCAAAGATCAATCAATGATATATTGCCCATTTTGTTTCATAACCTTTTGCCATCTTTCAGTGAGCTTCATAATTCCTCGTTCTTAGAAGGACCTGTCTTTATTTGCGAAAAACTGAACAAGGCGCTGATTTACAGCTTCATCTGAATTGAACATTATACTATGTAAGGAGTTTTGAAGACAGCGAAACAAGTGGAAGTCTGATGGTGCAAGCTCAGGAAAGTATGGTGGGTGTGGCAACACATCCCATCCAAGCTCCAATAATTTCTGATGGGTGATCAACCTTGTGTGTGGTCTCACGTTGTCGCAATGGAACACAACTCCTTTACAATTTAAAAGCTCTGGATATTTCTGGATGATGGATTCATTCAAACTGTTCAAATGCCGACAGTACCATTTGAATTAATTGTTTGGTTCCTTGGTAGGAGCTCGAAAAACACGACACCTTTAAAATCCCACCACACAGAGAGCATAACCTTCCTCTGATGAATGTCTGCTTTCGATGTTGTTTGAGGTGAATCATCACATCAGAACCAAGACTGTTTGCACACCACATTGTTGTAAACAATCCACTTCTCATCACCAGTTATCAGTCGCTTCAAAAAAATGATTGTTTTCCTCACATTTAATGAGCATATTGCAAATGTTTACATGTGCTGTCAAATCAACTTTTTTGAGTTCATGTGGAACCCAAATATCAAGCTTGCTTAAGTATCCCAGCTTCTTCAAGTGGTTGTAAATGCTTGAATGATGGATGTTCAATGTTTCTGCAATCTCTTGCATCATGTAACGTAGGTTTGACTCGATCACTGCTGTTATTTTGTCATCATCAACCATGGTGGGCCTCCCTGACCAAGGAGTGTCGTTGAGATCAAAATCACCTGCATGGAATTTCATGAACCATTGTTGGCACTGATGTTCTTGTAGGGCATTATCGCCATAAACTTTATGCAACTTTTCACAAGCTTAATGTGCATTCTTCCCTTTAAGGAAGTAAAACAGTAAAATATGGCAAAAATGCACATTTTGGTCTTCCATCTTCAACTTGTAAAATCTCCAAAACTCAACCAAATTGCTTAATTTTATTTTAGAATGAAGCTAGAATTGTCAGCTTTCAAATGACATAGCAATAACATAGATGAGAATGACTCTAGTACTTCCAAAAATGAACTAGTGCCATCTGTCGCAAATATGCATCATGATTTTTCCGACAACCCAATACATAAACTTCTTTTGTTAATCTCTCAATATCATTAATGTTTTAATTCATTTTGAAAATGCAGAAACTAGGATTTAGTGATTAGATAATTGATAAAAAAATCGTGCACCTAATTAATTTTGAAAACTCTAGATTTGTATGTCAGATTCCCGCACAGATAATGCTCTTTTCATTATATTGCATAGGTAGTCCTGTTTATATAGCCTGTTTCTGGTTGTTCTGTTTACATAGCCTCTGTGGGGTGGTGGTGATTATGGAGACCAACAACCATCAGAAAGATAACACTGTACTTAGAACAGATGAATTGATAAAAATACAGATTTAGAAACCAATGAGATTTGTTTGGCTTTAGTGCATTTTTCTAATTGGCCCAGCCATAGCTAAGATATAAGAATATCACCACCTTTTTACTGGAGAGCCTCATGGATAAAACAAATGAACTGGCTGTATGGAGTTCATACTGAAACAGATTTCAGGAAAAAGTGTCTTTAAAGAGAAGTATTGTCACTCTTCAGATTGAATCCACATCCATTCTACAAGATAGTCCATATATGACTGCCTTACCTATGCATAAAGACCAACTCAAGCACTACATTCTTCATGAAGTAGTTAGTATTTGAAGGCTTGCTATGGGTAAAGTTTTAAAATAATAGAAAGCAATCCATTTGAGACTAAGTAGTTAATATCAAAATAAACACATGTGTAGGAAGACATTTCATTACAGAGACTTCAAGACTTATTTCGTGTTTTAACAAGTTTATTCAACTAATATGGTCACTGTAGATAATCCACCCTATAAAATTCAAACCTCTGACTTCTGCTTTGAAAACTCTAAGGGGATTTTAACTTAGTTTCATCACTACATCGCCTTATCCTAAATTGACAATGTGCCCAGGATATTATATTGGGTTGTCGGAAAAGTCATGACATATTTTTTCTATGTTTTTTGTTGCAAAAATGTGTCATGACTTTTCCGACTATCCAGTAGTTAGGCTGGGATGCCAAGGTTTTTCATATTTGAAAAAGCAAAGTTTAGGCTATAATGTGTTTGAAATTTCTTCCAGCTATAGGTCTGTGATTCTTTATATAGCTCTAGTATTTTAAAGGGTCTGAAAATGAATTTAATCCAAATCCATATTTATGGATTTTCAATACATGCCTTCCACAGAAGTGGTGCTATCAGGGGAGATTTCTATGAAAGACTTCATGAGGGGGATGGCTGTTGGATAGATCACTGCATGTGAGACAGTCATATATAACAAGAATATGAAGTCTAGATGGAGGCCATCAAAATAGAAACAGCTGAGGACTGGTAGTATTTTTACAGCAGAGAGTGTTTAATTTGACTTGACTTTGTAGCACATGAGATTAGTGAGAGACAGGCAGGGATCAAGCTACAGAGTATACATGATATTATATAGAAAAGAACAATCTTAAAGCTTTTGAACAAAGGTGGGGCATGATTCCTGTTATTAAAGAAAGTCTACATTGAGGCAAAGATGGCTGTATTTTCAATAAAATGCCACAGCAGTTACACACATGCTTTGTGTTCACTGAGGGTGAAGAGAGTTAATGAATATGAGAAGAGGTCTAGCCAAGAATATACTTTTCGAATAATTTATATTATGTGTGATTTAGTTCTTGTAATTTATCACTCTTCTATGATGAGTATTATGAACATATAATATTTGTCTGCATAGTTTAATTGAGCTTCTCCTGTGTCTATGGAGTGACAACTATTGTTTAGGGAAAACTGTTTATCCATGCAAATAGGTGTTTTTTTTGGGTTGTTTTTCCAGTATTTCTTTTTATAAAGATTTTATTGGGGAATTGGGAGAGGGGGATAGCATTTGTGGAATTGGGGAAGGGGAACAGACAAGTTGCTGTCCTTTTGTTCTTCAGTCTAGTTGTGGAGGACGTCGCTTCACTGGCCCATGTTGGTATTATCATTGCGCTCTTCCCAGGTGAGGCAGATGGGTCGCCGGCCTCTGGACGGCCGCTCACGGAGGCTCTTGGCAGCTTATACTGGCTGCCAGCTCCTTGTGCTGGCTGCTGGCCACACACAGTAGCTTATGGCAGCCCACTGCTGCAGGGGCTGCAGCCTACGCTGTCGCCAGTGACTCATGGCAGCCCAGCTCCAAATAGGTGCTTTTTTAAGTAATAGAATTTAAATAACTCAGCTACCTTCATGGGCAAAACGATAAAATGTTTTCGTTAATGGGCTATTTTGCCCTTTTCTGCTGTACACACTTATTTATATTTTAAATTATGACCAAAAGACTGAGAGGGCTTGCTTAGACAGAAAGTCAGAAATATTTGTATAGAGTAAGTTGGAATGGAGGAAAACAGACATTAAAGAAGGCTTTCAAAAATAGTAATTCATGATAGAAGAGCTGAAAAATGAGCGGAGGAACATAAAATAAACAGCATTTATATTTATAATTGTTGATATTATAACACTGACATGTGAAAAGATTGAAAATAAGTAAAATAAAATGCTACCTGTAGTTAGTTGAAAAACAATTTAAATTTTTCTTGTGTACACTTAAACTCCCTTCTCTTTTCTATGATGGTTTGTATTTCTGTTCCTCTCAGAATTCCCTGTTTTCTGATGACTCTGCTCCCACCTCAATCAGGCTTAAAAGTTAATGACTTAAAAATGAGCTACTGGAATCTATTCTCTTCTAAAGATGTGATGATTGTGAGTACAGTCACACAAAAAATGGCTTCTAATTCTCTTACTAAGTGACAAAAGGATATACTGCATTTCCCTTTTTACGTACAAGCAATGACATATTGTGGGCAAAATTTTGAAATGATAGAATAAAATCCTATCACACATGAAAAGTTCAATATCAAAACCAAACAAATACTTAAGAACTCATATGAAAACATTTCAATACATAGATACAAAACTCATTTTGATTCTTTTATAAAATTATCTAAATAATATTGTCAACATAAAGAATTCACCCTATATAACTCAAACCAAATAACTTCTGTTTTGGAAACCTTGATGTCCACTTTAGTTGTCCATATGTTGCAATAAACTGGAGAATTGTCAAATCGTTTCACTGTTTGCTGTATAAATATATCTACAAATTTATCTACAAAAATGTGTACTATTATCTACAAAATTAGCCTATTGCTGTTGCTTTAGTTTCTTCCATTTCTCCCTCCAAGTTCTGTGCAATTTAAATGCAGACAGATACTCTCTGTCATATGCTTTCTATCAATGTCTAGTGGTAAAAATGGCTCAGATTTTTCTAGTGATGTACATTGTTTTCTTCTAAACATGTTTGTTAACACATATAAGTACATTGGTACAAATAAAATCAACGTGTAAATGAAAACCAAAACACGTACTTGGAAAACACACTGAAATGAAACCCTAAAAATATTTGAGTATTTTTTTCAAATGTTAACCTACAACCGATTTCACCTACTCTAAATT